CGCTTTAGAAGTAGCCATTGCCAAAGATCCAATCCACGAAATTGAGGCACACGATGCTGACGATATTCGGGCTGCTTTGGCACAACATTTTTCTTAATACGTACAGTCTCATACATCTCATTGCATGATCTTTTATTGAAGGTAATGCACAGTAATAGTATAAATTTGATAAAACATGTTTAAATTACAGTAACTCAGTGTTATACTTTAATTTATCGCCAATCCCCTTTAACTGAAATTTTACGATACGTTCAACTGGTCTTCTGTGTAATATGTACAGAAAACAAATGTAACGCAACAGTATAAACAGTTTTTGTAGTAGTTTAGCATTTCACTGTTACTACAATTTCAAAAAAGTGCGGACATCATCATGTGTCTGATTTTCATTCAAACAACTATGATCGCCGCTGTCACATGGATATTGTTGTGGGCTGAATTGAGGACTGTAGCCAACGGGATAATTATATTGTTGGTAACCAGTTATGGTAGTAGAAGGTGGTGGTGACAACATCATACGTAACATATTAAGCTCATGTGCTCTCTCCTCCTTCCGACACTCGTTTTCCAGTTGGATTTGCTGCAACACAAACTCGTGCTCTCTTTTAATTGACTGTTTTAAGTGACTGTTCGCTGGTTTGATGTGTTTTCTTCATTTAGGGATGTCTCTTCCAGGCTTGAAATTTTCTCTTGGCTTTTGTTATTGCCTAAAACTGGATCAATCCCTTTTTCTGGATCATCATCATTTCCATCATCATCTTCAAAATCTCCTTTAAAGGCAAATAAATAAAAAAAATATATACTCTCTGTTCAATTTGTAATAAACATACATGGAACTAAGCTCATAACATGCAAGATTATCCATTTATAATTTCACATGCAGTACAGATAACTGACATTTTAATTGAGGGCTTCATAAGTGGATGCTTTGTATGGTATATTGACTTCCCTATGTATCATCACTACTAATTACTAATGAAAAAAATGGTAATGTGGTGCATTGGAGTCATCTGCAAGACTTACCAAAATGTTTAGTTGTCTGTTGATCATTCTTCACAGAAGCACAATTTGGGCAGGAAAATTCTTCATCAGTGGAATAAACAATAACTGCTCCATGTTCAATTACATGTACGCCACTAGTTCTTAGGTTTTCCTCATAGTCACAGTTAGGGCACTTTTGCATGTAGGTTTCACCTTGGCCATATTTCTCAACCATACCATCAACTACAAGACAATAAACTTTAGTACACAGTTTATTACATTTCAATAGGCAAATGTTAAAAGAATTTGATACCTATATAAATGCTGGTAAGAAAAGTAAAAAATGGGGTTGGATAATTTGTTCTGCAATAAAGGATGGTAATTAAGAAACAATGAACAAATTACTGTAGTCTGCTGAAAAAAGGATTTCACACACCTTGGTTAGAATTGCCATCTTTCATTTCCATATTGTTCGCAATTGTGTCAACAACTACTGGTGAACTTACATTGTGTTGCTTGGTCAAAAAAGCATCAATTTCATTCCACTTTTTCGATGCACCGTTTCCAGTTTGCCGTGACTTATCTTTTTCCTTCCTGGCGTAATTTCTTTATTGTATTGATTAATTCCTTTAGGGTAAACCCTTTGTATCTCTTTTCTTCAAACTTAGACTGTAAAATATGTAAAATAACTAGTAAAAAATATATATTTGGCATTATTTGTAAATATATAATTATAATTTTGATATGAACACCGAGTTGTAAATTTAGGTCAAATTTAACAATTTTAAACATTAAAAGACTCACCAAAAGTATATTATAAGCACTAGAAGTCGCCCGAGACGTCTTACACGCATCTAAAGATATTTGGATGGTTTTCTCCGCCCATAACTCGATTAAACATCGCGTAGCTTTGTCAGACCATTTTAGGAGCCATTAGGAGCAATTTTCTGCAAGTATCTCATAATCTCAAAATGAATGCACACGCGTAATTAATTTTGGGTCCGCGTGCTTTCTATTAAGCGGGCCGAGACTACCTGAAGAGTGGGTCTCGGCCCCTCAAATTTTTTTGGCACGCGGACCAGTTTTGTAGTCGTTTACACGTCAAAAATCAAGCGTGCCGTGCCAGATATATTGGTCCGCAGGCCAAAATTTAAGCGCGCCGTGCCTAAAATAATTGTAAACGGGGCTTTACACGACATGAATATTTGGCAGGCATAGTACAAAATATGGACTGGACTGGACTGGACCGGTCCATATTTTGTTTCTCTGGACTCAAAATTGGACTCAAAATTGGACTGAAAATTGGACTGAAAATTGGACTGAAAACTGGACTTCAAATTCTCAAACTGGACTCAGCTAAAATTTCAATAAAGCCTGGACTGCAACTGAATCCAAAAAAATTAATGCATCATAAAACTTTATTATCATTACTGTCACATTCAGAATGACCGAAACGGACATATTCCGAGCAATTATCCATCTTGGCACTCTTGCAATTGTTCATTTAATATAACACAACAAAAAACAAGCCGTCTGCGTGGCATGAGTTCGCCTGCCACAGCCATAATTATTCGACGAAGTAAATATAACACCGTAGAGGATAGACACTGAAAACGAGCACAATATAATACCTCTTTGTTTCATACGAATACTGTATATGTGTCAAATATTAGGTTTTCATATTAGTGTAGGATTTAAAATTCTTACTCTTATATTATAAGAGTGGCTAATTCAGTGGAAATACAATTGGCTAAAATCAAGGGTGATGTGCAGGAGAAGTTTGACCATCTAAAAAGAAGAGTGCCTGTGGATATTGCTTCTAATTGTGAAAGTAGCCGCTCCACAAGAAGAAAAAAAGAGAACAAACGAAAGCATGATAAAAGAAAGGAACAAAGAAAAATATGCAGTAGTGTCAAGATCTTGGATGCTATTCTCCTCGACCATGCAAAGAAGAACAAGTTCATAGAGCAGTTAGAAAAGTCAGACTTTAGTTTTACTATAGAAAAAGAAGATATCAACATGGAACACTTGGGTTTATTAAAACCCAAATTTCACGAGCATGGCATCAAACTGTTATTAGAACAAGGTGTTTTTGCCAGTGATGCTTGTGAACTAGTTCAGAAAGTGGTTAACAGTTATAGTGAAAAGAAAAAGATTGTAGGACCGAAAAAAAAGAGAAAGGTCACAACAAAGAAAAATCAGATGTCACTTCTTACAGCTTTTGGCAACGCCAAAAAATTAAGTGAACATTCATGTACCTCGGATTCTGATTTGGACTAATTAGTATTTTATGCATTTCATTGTTCAGAATATGTTGTTTCATGATTATTAAATAATGCATTAATTTTTGGTAGCCCCCCCTACTTCTCTCTGGAATTTTTTGTAGCCCCCCCTAAGTGGTTACTACATTTTTGGTGGCCCCCCCAAATATCTTCCGGCCCACCCCCCGGCATTAATAATGACTGCTCCCTAACCTTTATCATATTATAATAAAGGTTTATTATCTAAAACCTTTCAATTAAGACCAAGCTCTTGCTGAATGTGCAATTTGTGCACTTCCTGGAGATGGCGTCTAAGCTGGCTCGGAACAACCACTAAAAAAGGTACAAACGCTGGTTGGACCAATTGAATGCAGTTTTTTCTGCAGTGAAAATAAACGTTCCCAATTGATCCTATTCCCCATCCACCACCAGGTTAAGGAAATTTCCTTTGCATTGAGCTTATAATGACCAGGTCATGCGGGGCTTCTGGATTGACTAGACTTCCTCTAAAACTCAACTTTAACATTTGACCGCAGCCATAACAATGCTTAACGAGTGGGCTGCACAGACCAAGTAAGCTCAAGATAAACCCTCCTTCGCTGACTTTTGGTGGTGACACGATTTGCGTTTGATCGGTGGTAGCTTATACAAATGTTATACAATCAATTCGCGTTTTAGGAGGTGTCTTTTGCTGTTGGTCCATACTCTGTTCATTTCCTTGCCTCACAACTCTTCCTTGGCTGGTATTCTGTACAAAAAGCAGAAGATTATTTTGTTGGCTTGTCATTCTAGCAGACAGATATAATCATATTCCTGAAATGCATGTACTCATGTATGTTTTGTTATTAATTGTTTTACCTACCCCATTAGTTGAGTTTACAAGTTGCTCCTGTTGAGCGGTTGCATAGACCTCCACCACGGTTTTAGGTTGTTTATTCGAGTTTTTTGCCCCTTTTCTTCTTTGTGTGGACTTGGTACCCTTCTTTCCTCTACCGGCCGGAAGATCCATATGAACAAGAGAGTTCAGACCACATTGGGCTTCACTTCTTGTCTTGTAGCATTTCACAAACTCTTCAAGTTGGCCATTCAGTTCTGCTACCGCAATAGTGTGGGCGCATATATCGTATGCGGAAAACCTGATACAGTTCTTGCTGCATTCGAAGTGTACACCATGGCGCACCATTTTCTTTCTGTGGACGATATAACATGGTGCGTTCTGTTCATCATTAGTGACATACCAGGGCAGTTTGTCTCCATTTCCTGGAGCCTTTATTATACTTTCATCCTTCGTTTGGAGAATTGTTGATGCCTTATTGTACATTCTCGCAAGCACGGCGTATGGAACTCGGATTATTTTGATGTTTTTCAAATGGACACTGAGGTTTGGAAAGGTGGCATCATTTTCCGCAAGAGCTTCTTGTACGTCGGCTGGAATTCTTTCCAAGCAATTCAAAGGTGCTCGGTGAAACTTTTCCAGCACAGCTTTCTCCTGATCTAAGGTTTTCCTATAAAATAATGTCTCTCGATTTCCGTAACGTTCGTAATCAGAATCTAGCAATAATTTGTCACCAATACCAATAAGGGCCAGATCTTCTTCCGTTTGCTGACGATTAACAACAACTTTTAACAACCTTACAAATTCTGGGATTGTAAGCTCTTTTTTGAAAGTTCTTTCTAGTACAGAGTTCATGCATTCGTTTGGGTTTTGGTAATGTACCGCAGGGGGCCACCCTAGGCCAGACATTGCCCTTATATTGGCCGTCATTGTGTGTCTAATTAGTGGGAGTTTATGCTTCATGAAGTATGCCAAAAACGCTTGACCTTTTGTACTGCTTTCCCACTTTACTTTCAGATTTTCCATCCTTAAGTCTAGGTCGCTTACACTAGCTGTGTCAATAAGTCCTGGAATTCGTTCTCCCCCAACTCTCCTGCCAAATACATCGAGTACGATCGATTTTGCCACTTCCCCTCTAATTCCAAGCTCGTGGAGTTTTGATGATATGTTGTCCCGCATGTGAAGATCGCATAGCAAATGCTTGGCATTCGGAAGACAAGATCCAAAAGCATCTGATACAGCTTTTTCACCATCTGTGCCATATACAAGTGTATTTCGGGTTGCTGGGTTTAATTTAATCATAGTCGATGGCAGCTCGTGATAGCTGGATGACTTTTTCCTGTTGTGCACCAACACAGGTCCGACTCTCACAGGATGAGGTCCCTCATTTGTACGTAATAGTAGATGTCGGTATGTAGTAACAGTAACGTAGTACTTACCAAAGTTAAATGTAGGATCGACTCCTAAAACACTAAACTTCGCAGGATTACAACAGAAACAGGTAACGTCGTTTAGTTGATGGTTTGTGGCAAGCACAACATACGGTTCAGACGATGTTTCAACTTTGCGGACGAATGCTTTGTCTGCGTTTCTATTGCCTTCCTTCAGCATTTCAAGAAGCTCCATCATTTGGTCCCCAGGCTTTTCTTTCAATGTTTCTTTAACGTATTTAATTTGCCTGACATTCCGTGAATGGCAAGCAGCGTTTTTGAACTCGGTAATACCACCTTGTTCCTCTATGCTCTCGTGAAACGTACTGGCAGGCGGCTTGCCTTGCATGCACAGTTCTTTTAAGCGTTCTTTTGTTGTATGGGAGGTGCGGTAGTATGCAGCTTTGTTTCTTTTTGAGTTGCCATGCACTTTTACATCAACCGCATGTTCACGCCCATCAAATATATATTGGACAAACACGAAATTATGCATTTGATCATTCTGATCTGTATCTAAAAAAAAAAAACTACTGTACTGACATTTCGCTCGAATGAACTTCATTTAATATTGAATTGATCACCTTTTAAATGTAAGACGATCCTGAGAAGTTCCGACGACGATTTATTCCTGAAATAGCTTCTGGTTGCCTTATACACATACCGTTGATTGTCATCTTTGTAAATATTTTCAGAAACTTTCATAGGAGGTTTTGTTTGATTTGGAACTCGATAGTATGCGTGTTTAGTTCCGTTAGGAACCCATGCACCAAGGTCGTCAGCAAATATACTCTTGAAGTGTGACACATGGGGAGCAGAAACGTCCACTACAAAAGCGGCATTTACATCACATGACGCAGGAACCGCCCGGGCTACTAATTTTTTATTCGGATTTAAAAGAATCTATTTCTTTGGTGTTAAAACCATTTCTAACTCCCAGTTCATAAATTGGTAATAACGAATCCATATGCAAGAATGAAACCTGTTTTTCATTGCCATCAGATTCAGTATCGCTGCTCGAAGGTATGTTATGGCCAAGATGTTCACCAGCCGATTCTCTCATTCTACTATATGAATACACATATGTACTTGCTTTTACTTCGGGATGAATTTATTTGCGACAGTTAAATAAGGGGGGGGGGGTTATACTTGACAATCAATTTCATTACTGATGCTACATAAGGAGGTCAATACTCAATTGTAGAGTGTACATGAACTAGTTTGAATTATATATGAACAAACCTTGTTGAAACTTCATCAGAAGATGAACCTAAGTCAATGGAGTAAGAATCATCCAGCGACATCATTTTCTGCAAAACGCAAAAATACTACGTTGCATTTAACATTGCTTATTAATCGTGTATGTGTTTTTGTAGTTTACAATTATCCAACAAAATCTAAGCTGTCGTGTAGTGATTCTCAAACTCACTTTGCTCAACGTTCCCTCGTTCAAAGTATTTTTTTCTTTATGCCCGGTAATGATACTGCGATTAATCGCCTCCTATCACAATTAAAGTTTCACAATTAATGGATTTTAAGTTATTTTACTGCCTTAAGCTGGCGCTAAACATATTAATTATGCACTTTACCTGCAAGTCATCTTCATCACTAGACTCGAGTGTTTGTTGCTCTATGCAAAACAAGTTTAACTCTCACTAATGAACAATATTAAATTGCTATTTTTTTATGTGAATTTTTATATAGCTATATATATAATTGTATATATTTTATACATACCTTTCATTTTTGTACTGTTTTTTTCGCAAGAATAACTACCTATAAAGAGGAGTGCAAGTGTTCCGTTTCAAAAAAAAAAAACGCTAAATGCATTTCGCTAAAATACCGGCCATGCCTTTTGGACGTTTCCTTTCCCCTTTCTCCACTCCCCCTTCTTTGCTTTTCAACCACCTCTTCATGTTTAGTGACTTCGTAAAGCTCCTTTATGCGAAAAACAATCAAATTAGCCCTTTTCCAATCGAGTAGGGTACTGGGTTTAGTCGCGAACCGCAAAGCATCTATGGACTCTTTGGAGGGACAAAGATTTCAGACTTATATTTCCTGTCCCTCCAAACAGTCCATAGATGCTTTGCCGTTGGCGACTAGACACAGTACCCTGCTCGATTGGGAAATGGCTAATTAGTATATTTGCTTTACATACATGCAATATGAAGACACAATATGTATAATGTAATGTTATGCGGTACCTTTCTCCGAAAAGATGAGCCAACTGGTAGCACAGGGATTCCTGGACTTACGTCTTCCTCCTCATCCCACGATTCATAGCATTCGAATATTTTCCTCTATATATATATAACGCAAAACAAGCGTGATTATACATCAAGATGGATTTCGGTAAAGAAATACATTAAAAAAATGCATAAAAATGCATGAATATACATACGCAGTTTAACGAAGCATATCGATGAGTTAAGAATATACCTAGATAAACAACAATTTGAAATAATTAGCATTAATGAAACTATGCTCGACTCGTCGGTGTCTGACCAGGAAATCAAAGTTAAAGGCTACGATGTTGTAAGGAAAGATAGAAATAGACGTGGCGATGGAGTCGCAATATATGTACGAAACGTAATAAATTTTACAGTAAGAGACGATTTTAGTGATGATAGTCTTGAGACAATCACCCTTGAAATTTCGAAACCAAAATCCAAGCCATTTATAATTAATTCTTGGTACAAACCACCTAACACCACACTTGAAATTTTCGATGCATTTGAGCATTTAGTTAACCAAATGGACTCTGAAAACAAAGAAGTAATTTTACTTCGAGATTATAATTGTGACTGGTCTTGTCTGGCTTCTAATAACGCTAATTCTCAAACAAACAGGCTTGCCGAAATTACTCAAATACTACAATTTCAGCAATTAATTACTGAACCAACACGGATTACATCAGATAGCAAAACGTTAATAGATTTAGCATTCACAAATAAACCTGAATTGATTAATGGTTCGGGAGTCATTCACTTGGGCATTAGCGATCACAGTTTGATCTATATTCAGCGGAAAATCGCTGCCCCTAGTGAAAAACCAAAACTTATAAAATCAAGAAATTTCAAACACTATAATCTAAGTTACTTTAAGTCAGACCTCTCTACATACCTGTATGATCAAACGTATTATGATATAATACTTGATCCAAATATTATGTGGGAAAAATGGAAAACTATATTTTTGTCGGTTGCAGACTTTCACGCCCCAGAGAGAACAAAAAAAGCTAGAAGCGAATATGCACCATGGATAACTGATAAAATTAAACAAAGAATGCATCAAAGAGACTTTTTAAAGAAAAAAGCGGTTAAAACTGGTTCGAAGCAATTTCATGACGCTTATAAAAGCGCAAGGAATGATTTAAATAGACTAATTAAGAATACAAAAGCTATATACTTCACAAATACGTTGAATGGCTGCGAAAATAACCCAAAGAAAATGTGGAAAATAATTAATAATCTTACAAACAAACAGTCAAAAACAACCCTTATATCTGAAATTCATTATGAAAACCAAAATTTAACTGAAAGGAAAGATATTGCAAACGCCTTAAACCTACATTTCAATGAAGCTGCCTTTCGGCAGGCTGAAAATATGCCACAGAGCTCAAGGACGCCCGAATCATACATAACAATTCCCAATGCACAATTTGTATTACAAAATGTTTCAGTAGATAAAACATATAAATTACTATCTACAGTCAACATATCCAAATCAGCAGGACATAATAGAATATCAGGTAAACTTCTAAGAGATGCTGCCGAAGTAATAGCTCCATCACTAACAGCAATCTTTAATACATCTATAAATACTGGCATATTTCCTGAAGATTTTAAGACAGCTATTATTTCGCCAATACATAAAGCTGGAAGCAAAACTGATTGCGATAATTATAGGCCAATTTCAGTTTTATCTTCTGTTGCTAAAATACTTGACAGACTTATCACAGAACAACTAGAAATTTTTCTTGAAACTAATGAAATACTAGTAGAACAACAAGCAGGATTTAGGAAAAATCACTCTACTCAAACTTCACTACTTAATAATACAAACCACTGGCTAATGAATATGGACAAGGGTTTATTAAATGGAGTGATTTTTTTGGATCTTAAGAAGGCGTTTGATTGCGTTGACCATAACATATTATTTAAAAAAATGCATTGCTATGGAATAAGGGGTCACGCGCTCGCCTGGTTCCAGTCTTATCTTTCTAATAGAACTCAAATGTGCAAGGTAAATCAAATATTATCTGAACCAAGAACTGTTAAATGCGGAATACCTCAAGGATCTAACCTTGGACCACTTTTGTTTCTATTATATATAAACGACCTGCCAAATTGTCTAACTTCATCATCGGCAAGCATGTTTGCAGATGATACAAATATTTCAACCAGTGGCAAGACTAGTGAAGAATTACAAGAACACCTAAATACTGACTTAGAAAACGTGCATCAATGGTTACTTGCAAACAAACTTACACTCAATAAAAATAAAACTGAATATATGATTATTGGCTCAAGACAACGAATTTCAAATCTAATATCAAATCCTAAAATTGAACTCGGCGAATCAGTTATTAAACAGGTCCATGGAGCCATCAAATCCAACACATTTTCACCAAAGCTTCACGAGGAATAGGAATGATGCGACGAATAAAACAGTTTGTCCCAAAATCAACTCTAATAAAAATTTATAATGCTATTGTGTTATCACACTTGTAGCCTTGTATGGGATAACTGTTGTGAATACTTAAAAAATAGACTTCAGAAATTGCAAAATAGAGCAGCTCGCGTCATAACTGGTAAAACATACGAAGTTAGTAGCGAAGATGTCCTAAAGGAATTGGACTGGAAGCCTTTAAATCAACGATACAATGTCAACAAAGCAATCTTTCTGCACAAAATGCGAAATCAAAAAAATCCATTATCAATTTCTAACATGTTCAAAATAAAAAGCAACGATAGATATAATCTAAGAAGCAACTATAACGATTACGATCTTGGGAAACCTAAAACAAATTTCATGAAAAAAAGTTTCAGTTACTCAGCTGCATCACTTTGGAATGGTTTATCCAATGAAGCGAAAGAATTAGGCATAAGTACTAAAAAATTTAAACGTATTCTTGACGACACTTGACCCAACACCAAATGTATATGTATAGTTATATTTGTATATTTCTGTAATGTATTTTAGTTCTTTTTAATTGCATGCGTGTGATACACGGCCCTTTGAAAATCAGGCTAACTGAAAGGTTACCGTGTTTAAATATTTTTAAATAATAATAATAATAATTAAATAATACATCCAGGCTATCCCGTATTTATTTTGTTCAATACAACCCTTGTGTTGATATGGTTTCGATATATTTTAGGCAGCTGTTTACCGCGGGAATTTGAGGGCTGAAATTGTTCAAAGTTTGTGACTTATTTGTAGCAGCTATTAGGTTTAAACAAGCGAAAGTAGTTTCTTTAATACTTAGATGTTATGAAAATACCATAGCGCCCCTAAGCGCCCCTGTGCAACATACAGGTTTAGCCTGCCAAACATGATGAAATTTCAACTCAATTTCAGGACTCCAGGCAGAACTGTGTACAAAATTTTGCGACCGCAAAGCATTCTGGTTGCTAATTTTAAGCCGAATTTTAAGCTTCATTAAATTTTTGCCCATAGTCTGGAGGCGCTATATCCAATACCTCCACAACTGATAAGAAGTCATCTTTGGAATCAATTATTTGCTTTGCCTTCTTTATGCCAATTCCTTTCAAATTTGGAAGGTAGTCACAACCAGACAAAATGCACCAGTTCAGGAACTTGTCTTGAGATATATCAAATGCCTGTAAAACATCTTGTAATACTATTTCTTCTCCTTGACCATTGAGATGTAACTTGTAAAAAACCTGGCATGTAAACAAAATTAAGATGCAAGCCAATTAAGATCACCTTGATGAGTAAAATGGTTTGGCTAAAGGTAAGGTGAAAAATGGGTGCACTGATTATTGTTAACCACTTCATCACAGCATTTTTGACAAGTTTTTTTGCACAATAATATTCTATTCAACATCTATTACTGTCCATCCCCATATAGTTTTCCTACAGAAATTAACAAACCTGTGTGCAACGGTACAGTACAGGTAGCCACACTCGAGCCCAAAATTAATATATGTGAGAAGGCACAGGAAAAGGTACCTTTAAAGTATTAATCAATTCTGAGAAATAATAATTTCCCAGAATCAATTTAGTCTGGGTGAGGTTTCAGTGTTTTCAGGACTTTGACAATGATGTGTAAAATTTATCTATTACTTTATATGTCCTATCATGATGGGTTTCACTTAGCATTTTCATATTAAATTGAGAGGGTTCAACCTCTCACATGAAACCCAATAATAGGATGTAAAACCACAAAGGTCTCAGTTTTGCTATCTGGGTCCCTTAACATGTCCAATAACCCACAGCTTATTATTGTTTATGTTACTCCCAACCCCCCTAACCCTAAAAATTGTGAATTCAACCACCCGTTAGCTAATAAAATTGTATTCAGTCAAATTGTTTGTTGTTTGATGATCAAGATTAATTTGATATTCAGAAACGATTTTTATTTGTTTGTAACTGCAACAATTTAAATATTTTCTACCATGATGCAATTAAAAATACACAAAAGTGTCAACACAAATTTCTCTATTTACATTTTTTTCATTGTATTTTTTTTCCCGTTTTTTTTTTGTTACACAAAGAGTGTATTTTTTACGGAACCAGGTACCCGGAACTCGTTTGTCTTTTCTTCTACACCACCAAATATGGAACTTTTGAACGATAAATAGTTTTTTTTTGTTTTTGCAAATTCCTTTTTTCTTTTTTTTTCTGTTTTCTTTTTTCATTGACGGTAAAAATACGTGTCATGCTATAGAGCAAAAGCTCTGGCTCATTTTGAACGTTTTTTTCTAGAATGTTTTTATAACACTTTTTTTTGCCCCTTATTTACTTTTCTTCTTCTTTGAGTTTTGAGCAGACATCTGAAAAAAACAAGGGGTGTATTCCATGTTTGTGGTATGTTTTTTGGGAGAAAATATGTAAAAAAAGCCAATTGTTTCTTGGTTAGCCCAACTTCTTCCAAGGTATTAATAATAGCTGTATTTTTTAATATTTGCAATATATAGTAATACTCACGGTTGTAGCTCCGTCTTTTTCGCCTTTTTTTTTCTCACTTTTTTTTTCCGTAACCTGCAGGGAGGAAATATAAAAATGTGTTTCATTTCCTCATGAGATGAACCCCCTTCAACACGAGCAAACAGCGTGTTTTTTTGATGGGATTTATCCTAGACGTGTTTGAGTCTTTTTTATTTCGAAAAATCTTGCATATTATTTGCAATATAAATATTTGCGTTCGATAACGAGAGACTTACGTCATCATCTTCAAATAGGTTGGATAATTTCCTCTTTTTCTTGCTGATCCTTTTTGTTTCTGTTGGTTTTCCACAAGCTTTCACTTTCGAAGAGGCAGCAGCTTTGTGTTGTTTAGTTGGCTGCACCTGTTCGTTTTCATCACTTGAGGATTCTGAAGAGGAGCTGCTTGATGACGACAAACTCTCAAATATCTTGCCGATATTTGGCACAGATGATCTTCGTGAAGTGGTGATGTGGTACTTGGCTGTTTTTTGTAGGTTGAGAGCAGATACTCTTTCATGTGCTTTGCATCCCCTGTTTTCCGAAATCTCACAGCCTCTTTGGTGGTATTTGTTGCATCAATAAGTTGCGAGAATCTTGTGGGATTTTGTAGAACTGTTGCACTCACAAGATAGTTGGCAGAGATCCCAAACAATGCCCACGAAATCTGGAAGATTTCTTCCATAAACTCATCAACCTGTTCGCTGCTTGCAACTAAGTGCTTGATCACTCTTCTTGCATCATCGTGAGTGCCCTTCCCTTTTCCTCTTTGTTGTTCAGTGCAACAAGGGAATGGGAGAGGGGCTCAAAGATCGCCTTTAGTTCTGGAAGCACCGCTGCTCCCAGAAATGGAGAGGATTCTTTTCTTTCTAAAAGCTTAAGATTGGAGTGCATTGTGTCTGAGTATTCAGACTGGGCTGTACTCGGCCTCGTCAGCCATTCTGATGTGAATGGCTTTACCCTTTTAAAAACAACATCGACATTTGGTGCCGGCTCTGCAACTCCATATGGTGTTACAAACGATCTGACACATTGGTGCCACCAGCCAACACCATTTGAACCTGCTTGTGATTTTGAGAGAGATTTCGAAGGTGTGGAATGATGACTCATCTCTGAAATTGACAAGAAAATTATATGTAAACATTTAATTTATATTTGAACAATTGGGAAACAAATTGAGATTGCTTTCAAATTTTTCCTTTTCCGCTATTTGAGATTCCTCTCGCTCATTGCGTTTATTGTTTGTCTCCTCTAACCTAGCTTCGAGATTATCATAAAGCATTACAGAAGAAAACTGTCTCTTATTTCAAAAGGAATTGGACAACTCTTCATTCCACTTTGACATTATATGGGAACGAGTATATACATTAATGCAAATGAATCAGTTGCATGAAAATTTCCAAGGAAATAATTTCTATTGCAATAAAACCCTTTACCATAGAAATTACAGATGATTACAAATGCATTTTAGAAGAAGAATTGCATTTGAAAATACTTAAATGAACAGCGGCGGCTAGAAAAACAACCCTTTCACAAGAGTGGTATTTACAAATTGGATATGCACTCAGAATAGCTTAACGTCTCTTGGAATAATGAAAAATATCGCTAAAAACCTTTATTACATGAAGAAAACACTTTAAAGAATATTATTATAGGTATTCCACTGAGAAAAAAATTTAAAAAATTGAAAAAATGGAAAATGTTATGGAAATATAAAAGAACAGAAAAGTGCGTGAAAACACGAAGTAAAAAAAGGTTAAAAACAAGCAAATTTCATGCAAATACAAAGATAATAATGTCAAAAACGGAAACTAGACCTTCAAATGCACCCAAATTGTAGTTTTCCCAAAGAAATTTTAGTGAAAAATGTCTTAAATATTAAGAATAGCACAAGAAATAAAAATAACAAATTTGTGCTCGAAAACACGAAGTTTAAAAAGCTTAAAAACAAGCTAATTTCTTGCAAATACAAGGAAAATAATGTCAAAAACGGAAAGTAGAGCTTTAAATTTACCTGAAACGTTGTTTTCTCACAAGAATTATCTCAAAAAATGTCCAAAATATAGCAGTTTACGCACAATAACAAACTTTCTCCAGCGAAAACACCCGATTTTTTTTTAAACTACGCATGCGCGGCCTACTTAAATCCATCGCTCAGAAGTTTACTAAATTGCATCTCTCAAGAGTATAATATAACAAATCATAGCATATCAGGCACAATAGTCGACATAGAGAGATGAAATTTTGCACAGTAGCAAATTAGACAAACAGCTCCAATATACTAAAAACATATTGCGTATGAAAGCATAGGGCACCCAGGAAATCGAAATTAATCTTCAAATTTCATGTTTTTACAGTGCTGAATCTTAATAATAGCCTATTTTGTGCAGTAAAAAATTTTTTTGATTTTCACTTGAGAGCGCATGCGCAACCTGCAAAATTCCATCGCTCAGGAGTAGAATATAAAAGAAATAGCACAAATTATGTCAAAGAAACTAAATTCTATATGATAGAAGACTAAAAATTAAGAAGTCTTAAAGTAAATTGGTTTCTTTATACATAATACGCCTTGTAGTGCGCATAGAAACACAGGGCGCCCAAATACATGCACAAAAATAGATCATATACTTTAAAATACATCATCTTTTACATAAGGTGGTAAAGGTAGCAACGTCAGAAACAGTCTCTCGTAGAGGCATTTCTTTTTATGCTATTACCATGAAACTTTGTAAACGAGTTACTTTTAGAAATATAATTGCCCATGCAAAGTTTCAAGACAATTGGTTAAAAGCAACTAGGTGAACCAAAAACGTCGTTTAAAGTTTGATTGCGCAATATTAGTTCTCAGCAAATTTCAATGTTCAAACGACCGTATCTCCTAAAGTATTGACTGTACGAGCAAACAGTTTTCAGATTCTGAAAGAGCGTCAAACGTTCCATAAGATACGACTAAAAACAGGGCAATATGCGAAACACTGTATCCCGAAATTTACATTGAACTATTTAACACGGATCAGAATCTGCATAAAATAGCGACATTAAAACCGCCATATCTCAGAAAATACTCGTACCCCCCCTGATTTTTTTTCAGATTCTGAAAGAGCATAAAAAGTTGAATAAGATAGGCTAAAAAAATCGGCACTTCAAAATTGACAAAAAAGTTATAATATATATATACATTAATGAGCATACTGGTCAAAGGTCTATTAGTGTAAAACGTGCTTTACTGTTAATGTGAATTAAGTAAACCTTGGAGTGAATGAACGGAAGGTCTTGTGGTAACAATAATAGCTGTGGGCTATTGGTCCCTTAACATGTGCCTTCTCATAATATATCATAGGGTTCAAGCATGCATCCAGATCAACAAAGAAAAACATACTTTTTTACAACCATAGGCAAGCAAATCAGAGTCTTCTGTTACTGCAAATCCGGCATGACCATGTTGTAACATGAAGGCAATCTGAGCATCTGACTCATATGCTGCAACAATATACTGTACTTTCTTTTCTATGCAAACCTGCAAGTTTTGAAAGACTAAATTTTTAAAAACAATCACATACCTACTACAATATACTGTACTGTATAGAGTGTACAATATACTGTACTGTATAGAGTGGTCACAAAAATATATAAATGGGTCCGTACTACAAAAAGAACATTTACCCAAATGAAATCTTTCACATGCTTGTACTCAATACTTGCTGCCTGTGATAACATCTTCCAGGATTCTCTAACAGATCCTTCATTCTGTAGCTGTAAAGCCTTTGCTCTGCTTTCTTCCCTTGTCCTTAGAAAGTACATTAAAATAAACCGACCAAAATGAGAAAAGTGAGTGGGAATAAGACTCAATACATTCGTGTCGATAGCTTACCGTTTCCGATTGTTTCGTTCTTAATCTTTACCAGGCAAAGGCATGCCGTCGAATACCACAAAGGGTTTGACGCCGTTTGCCAAAAAAACATCCAAATATCTTGTGCAAATATCAATAGTTCTGTCAAATTGAAGCGCAAATAAACATTATTGAAAAAACTGCAGTGTGATATTATAAAGCAGAAAGAAAGTTTTATTTATTTACCTGCTATCATCGCCGTAGTGACTATAGCTCACTGAAAGCGCTTTGTGCAGCCAACAAGATGCGTCAATAGCAGCTGTTTCACCATGAAAATCTTTGAGATGTTTCTTCTTAGACACATCTCTCAACAAAGGAAGTAAATTTTTTATTCCCATTTATTGCATTGAATTCGAACATATCACATTTCAATTGTAATAACGCGCGGTTATGCAAAGCGCTTGACCTTAATACTCGACCAAGGTCTGCATGCAAATGAACAATTTTGATTTTCAACCATCATGCTTTGCGGTCGCAGTACGCACACCGCCTGGGTTGACTGTTAAATTAACACTCGTAACTGGCCATTGGCAACGAAATTGCTTTACGGTCTTATGAAATTGTTTCGGTGTTATCAAATTTGAACGATCAAGAAATTACCGCACTGAAACACTCACAATAGATGAGGTGTCATAAAACTGCTATTGCGCAATTAAAATGGACACAAACAAGGGAAGTCGTATTCTGCATCCCAAGAATTTGTTTGTGCAGACTAACCCTAACCCCATTTTTGCAAAAAGAATGCGTAAATAAGGAGTATAAAATATTTTGCGGCCTTAGCTTTTGCTTTCCTGACTCGAAGGGTATAACAATGTGTTTGAGGCGTCATGTAATATGGCAGGCACGGCATCCGCCACAAACTACACTTCGATGAGTTCGATCACCAGTCGTGGCCTTTCGGTCTCAAGTAACACAATGTTACGAGGAACAAGACATTCAATAAAGGCCTGTCTGTGCATGTGACTTACGATATATTATGTGGTTATCATTTGGTTTTCATTTTAAACTTATCATTAAAATTTGACACATATACAGTATTCGTATGAAACAAAGAGGTATTAATTATGTCGTGTTCGTTTTCAGTGTCTATCCTCTACGGTGTTATATTTACTTTGTCGAATAATTATGGATGTGGCAGGCGAACTCATGCTACGCAGACGGCTTGTTTTTTGTTGTGTTATATTAAATGAACAATTGCAAGAGTACCAAGATGGATAATTGCTCGGAATATGTCCGTTTCGGTCATTCTGAATGTGACAGTAATGATAATAAAGTTCTATGATGCATTAATTTTTTTGGATTCAGTTGCAGTCCAGGCTTTATTGAAATTTTAGCTGAGTCCAGTTTGAGAATTTAAAGTCCAGTTTTGAGTCCAGTTTTCATTCCAATTCTGAGTCCAATTTTGAGTCCAGAGAAACAAAATATGGACCAGTCCAGTCCAGTCCAGTCCAGTCCAGTCCAGTCCAGTCCAGTCCAGTCCAGTCCAGTCCAGTCCAGTCCAGTCCAGTCCAGTCCAGTCCAGTCCAGTCCAGTCCAGTCCAGTCCAGTCCAGTCCAGTCCAGTCCAGTCCAGTCCAGTCCAGTCCAGTCCAGTCCAGTCCAGTCCATATTTTGTACTATGCCTATTTGGCATGGTCCGCTTAAAATTGGGCCCGAGGACCTATCTTTATGGCCGGTTAAATTGCGTTTACATCTCTAGTATTTTCTTTCATTACCGGGCCATAAACTCTTAGCGGGCCCGGTGCCAAACTGTGAACTTTTTCTGAGCACCCTAGGGCCCACAATACAAATGCATGCGGTCTTTGTTTTTGCAGGAAATTTAAACATGTCAGAAATCAACAAAACGTCCAAAAATTTCTTAAAAGAAATGATAATTAAATGGTACATTCAAAGAAGTAAAGCCAAAGGTACGAGGGAAAATGTTTCATCAATAAGTCGTAAGACTACGGTCAAACTGCCAAACTGGATAAAAAAGAGGCAAAGAACAGTTCTTTTTGAAGCTATTTTGGCCACTTTGTGTTGTCCACAAAACCGATTGTTGTGGAATCATCCGAGATCGTTCGTATGGATAGAAATGTTCGAAAATACATACGATGATGAATTGTGGTACACCAATTTTAGAGTAAGCAAAACAACGTTTGAATTTCTCTTAGATATGATACGGAACGACATTTATCGTTCTGACACGATTATGCGTTCTGCAATTGCACCTAAAAGACGACTGGCCATTACCTTGTACTATTTAGCTTCTACTGCGGAGTACAGAACAATTGGCAACCTATTTGGAGTATCTGCATCATTTGTCTGTCTGTGTGTGAGAGTCGTGTGCCATGCTATTATAAAACGGTTGGCGAAATTTATCAACTTTCCCAAAGGAGAAGAACTCCTGGAAGTGATTGAGGGCTACGAAAAAACATGGGGATTTCCTATGTGTGCAGGGGCTATTGATGGCACACATATTCCAATCCTTGCACCGTTGGAAAGCCATGCAGAATATGTTAATCGAAAAGGTTACCACAGCATCATAATGCAAGCTGTCGTCGATTGCAATTACCTTTACAGAGATGTCGTTATTGGATGGCCGGGTAGTGTTCAGGATGCTCGCGTCTTTTCAAATTCTTCGATTTTTAAGAAGGGAAATGAAGGAAAACTTTTCCCAAACGATCTAACAAAGGAGGTAAATGGAAAAAAAATCCCGCCATTCATTGTAGCAGATCTGGCCTACCCACTCCTTAGATGGGTGTTGAAAGGTTATCCCAACGACAAAATTGGACCCAGGCGTGAACAGGTGTTTAACTATCGCTTGAGTCGTGCCAGAGTTACAGTGGAAAACACTTTCGGCAGATGGAAAGGAAGGTTTACTCGATTTTCTGAAAGAATTGACATGGAGGTGTCAAATTTGGTAAATGTCACATACGCATCTTGTATTTTGCACAATGTGTGTGAGCTTCAAAAAAACGACTTCTTCCCATTCTGGGCAGAAAATGAAGTTGCCCAGGAGGTCCTTGTGGACGAAATCGATGAGGATTATGTATTGCAACACGACAATCATGATATCCGTGACACATTAACCAATTTGTTTTCACCGTAGTTACTGTTCAAAGTCAGAACTTTCATTAATATACGTTATATATATATTCCTCATTAGTGAAATATTACGCATGAACTGACGCGTTAACAGCAATTATAATGTAACATCGATAATTTTGTTAACAAAATTTGAACAGTCAAATCTAATTCTTTAAATGCAAACCTGTTTTTATCTCAAACAATAAAGTTGCACTTTGCCTTTTGTTTATTACCTAGCTGCTTTCTTTTATCATGATGGTAACACAAGTTGCATAATATGCCATCTTGATCTCAACATGTAACAGAATATAAAACTTGTAGACTTGCACAAGTGTATTAACTGAGCCTTAAATATTATATGATATAGTCAATAACTATTAGATAACAGAATTAAAACTGAAAGAATGTCTTGTTTTGGTCAGCTACTATGTCATGCATGATAAACAGCCTTGGTAGCATGCAAATTGGGGGCATGGACCGCTTGTTGATTAACTTGACTAACTTTTCCCATCATCATACTCAGCATGTTGAGTTCGTGTTCCCTTTCTTGTTTTCTACGTTCTGATTCCAAAATTACTTGTTCTCTGAAGAATTATGTTCCTTTTCCAGCCGCATTTCCTCTAACTTTCTATATCTAAAAGACATCATTCCAAGAGAAATCCAACATATCATCAATATTTTTTGTACAAAATGTTACTTTCAGTGGTTCTGTATGAGAAAAAATATAGTTATATCTTATTTGTCACAATTTTTATGGATGTAAATATTAGCATTTTACCTTTCAAAATCTTCACTATTGGCTTGTTGAAATTTGTTAAAGACAAATTCTAAACTCTCTCTACTCCTCCACTCTTCTCTTTTTAGAACAAATACTCGATTTAGGTTTGATCTTTCCCCCATTGTCTTTTTCTTGAATTGAATTTTCTTTGTTCTCAGCTCCATTTGGTTCCCCCTTTTTTTCTTCACTTTTCCCCTCAACTTTATTTTCAATGCTGGCATTCACAATCATGTCATCTCCATCTCCACCCTCATCTTGTTTTTTATCTACACACAAATCTCAAATCAATTCATGGCCTGATACATAACATAATTTTAAAGGCCTTTTTACTTACGGCCAGCCAAAACACTATATATAGCTTTAAAGTCACAGTTGGGACAAGAAAACCTGTCCGCCTCATCAAATACCATAAGAGACCCCCTTCAGAGGTATGAACACCAGCTGTACGAATAACTTGTTCATAGTCACATGACATTGTTTGGCATTTTCTGACAAAGTTTTCGCCTTCTCCATACTTGTTCACTAAACTTTCAACTAACAAAAGAATCAATAAGTTTTTAACTAACAAAAGAATCATATTTTTTAGTTAAATTTTGCACCAACCATCCCACCAATGAAATTAGTATGCAGGGAATACTCTCTCTAAACTTTTATAAGTGTGTCAAGAATTAAGGAGAGGAAGCCTTTAATTAAATAATCTATTTATTATACAGGCCAAATATTATATCTTGTTTTCTTCGTTTTATGAACCTAATTTTGTCCAACAATATATATAAATGTAAAACATACCTACGCCATCTCCATTATCTTTCACTGCCCGATCCATTGAATCTACTATAGCAACTGGTGTGACATTGTTTTTGACATTTTGTTTCATTTTCGGACCAAACCTTCCCTCGTGTCTTCGACGCCATGTTCTTTACTCTTGCCGCGAAAAAAATTTATTTCTACATATTAAAATACTAAATTTGCTGAAATAGCTGTTTTTTCGGCACGGTGCCGCTGCTTATACGGGCCGAGACTACCTATTTGAGCGGTCTCGGCCCGTTTAAAATTATAGGCACGGGTACTGTTAATTTTGCGTTTACACGACAAAAATTAGAGGGGCCGTGCCCAAAAAAAGTGGTCCCCCGGCCCAATTTTAAGCGGACCGTGCCAAATATTCATGTCGTGTAAATGGGGCTCTTTTAACGCGGTCTCGGCTCGGATAAAATTAAGGGGCTGCAGACCATTTTATGTCTGTTTACACGACAAAATTTAAGCGTGCCGTGCCATTTTTTTGGCCCGCGTGCCAAAATTTAAGCGTGCCGTGCCAAAAATGTTTGTTCTGTAAACGGGGCTATTGTTACAAGCCTCATTATCAATTAGCTTGTCTTGAATATCTCGCGCATAAATACTTGGTTTTTGAGTTTTATAGAATTCTAT